TGGCAGCTAAAATCTGAGCTGGACATTCGTGCAGCAAAACGGACAAACCTTGTAATATGGGGCGGCTTAGGGTACATGGCGCTACAATTTGGACTTCTTGCTCGACTCACCTGGTGGGAGTACTCGTGGGATATTGTTGAACCAATCACATACTTTGTTACTTATGGTTCAGCTATGGCTTTGTATAGCTACTATGTACTAACAAAGCAAGTGAGTATTTGAATATATTTTTCTATATTTGTAGTTGCTACTTAATTATTATTGGTGTTATTGTTGTATATGTTGATTTTTTAGTAAGGACTTCACTTCCTGAAAGTGTGTAATGATGTAGATAATGTTGTCACTTATTGTTATTATAGTGGATTATTATTGTACACTTATTATATTGCTATTTTAGGCCTATTCAAGTGCCTCACATAGCCATTCTTTTTAACACTGCTGAGACTTTTTTACCATTAGGAGTTGGTATAGCTGTTATCATGACTACAGTACCAGTGGCCCCCGTCAGGGTCCAGGGGCGAGGGGGGCAACCTCTCACGCTCAGAGCTTATGGCATTTATGAACTGTTAGCTGCATTGTCAGAGAATATAGAACGGTCCATGAAATATTTCCAAACAACTGTCGGTAAAAATACACCATGCTTGTGTCACATGCGACATCGATTATGTTTGGTTTCGCAAGACAAACCGTAACATAAACAAAAAACTGCAGCGATCTTTACATGAGCCAAGGCCTTGCTAAAAAAACATCACTCTCTAAATATTATATTTTGTAAAATGTACTAACGATTCCGCATGGTGAGACATCAGGCCTAGCCACGGGATTAGACCCACCAAAGAGAATTCAATCTTTTTTTTATCAGATTGGATACATTCAAATAGTGAAATACTTACAGTTCAGACTGAATATAGTGTTCAAATTGTTAGTAAAAGTTGGTAATTACCGCATCTATTGGATTTCGTAAAAAAAACCTGAAACATGGAGATATCGGTGGTCAAGTGTTGCGTTCCCAAACACGGAGATCTGTGTGTTTGACGGGCAGAGTGTTAAGGCATGTTATGATAGTTTGCATTTGTATAAAAACAATGATTTATTATAATAAGGTCGCATGTTAATTTTATAGGATTACTCAAATCCTGCAGCTGCTGATCGCCAGTATTTGATCTTCTTCCATCGCTTTGCTAAGAGGAAACAATTAGACATTGCAGCATACAACAATCTTAAAGAAAAGGTTGCACAGGTGAGGGCAGCAAACATTTTTGAAAACTTCCTTTGTGAGGGGATCATCTGTTTAATCTGCTGTTTTCTTCAATAAATTGAATATGGTATCTTTATAATTATATAAATGATTTATAAAATAAATTATATCTTATATATAGTGAAGTTCATTGTGAAAATGTTTTTTTTTTCTTTGAAACCTTTTTTTTTTTTTTTTTTTTTTTTTTTTTTTTTTTTTTTTTTTT